ACTGGAAATGCACATTCTAAAGAAAACATTGTCTTGTTCAATAAAATACAACTGCAGCATTAGAAATATGATCTCTATGAACTTGTGTGAAGTTAGTTTTCTAAATAACTATGAATATAGGTCACCACATGGAACCGATGCGATGTCAATTATGTGGCCAGATAATGTCATATCTTAACATTGCTGACTTGCTAGCTCAACAACCCTGCACGCATTTTTTTATTGTAACTGTTTGTGAATTTTTTCGGATATCACCTGATAGAAAGCGAGAATGGAGCCCAAGACGGAGCACAAACAAACAGTAAATGCCTATTTACTCTCGCTTAAATATACCCAAGTTGCAACGGTCAAGTTGTACGTGAATCATCACGTACTTTTTAATTTCTTAACTAAGCAAACCCAGCTGGGTTTAGTATGTACTACAAAATATGAAAATAATTTACATTACATTACTTACCTATACTGATTCTCTGTATAATAATTATTATAAACTTAAAACTTTCAGTGGTATTAAGTTGGGTATTTCGGTATGAGGATCCGTAATGATTTTAGTTGAGAATGCGGATTTATAGAGCTAAGGATAACATAAAATACAGTGGTTAATTTTTTCTTTTACGACAAATATTGACGAAGTTATGACAAAATTACTAAACGCATTTTCGGCTGGCCGCGTAGTGGCTGTGACGTCACAGAGCTCTAGAGCTCGGGCGCGAGCGTGCGTAAAGACGCTGCTGAAGCCCGACCGGAGTGAACCACGATCGAGCTCTGTGACGTCACACATCGTTTCGGCCGCCGTTGAATATGGGCTACCTAATACTAAAATAACTAATTTTATAATTAGTTATAAAATCGTAACGAATTAACCGATTTCGATGATTTGAAAAGTATATTAATTAAAAAGCTTATTTGATCCTTATACTGTTGATTTTGAGTTGATCCGCTGTCCTCGTAATGATCCTCATTGATCTCACTCATGAAAATGTCATTGCCCATGAAACAATCTCCTTCAACAAAATAATATTATGAATGATTGATATCACCGAAGGGTTACTTCGAGCGAATCAGAATTCAAATCGTGTCAAACGCCCGCGCCCCGGAAATTGAACCCGGCCCGCTTGACCCGACCCGGCGCGACGAGAGACGCCCTGTCAGCGTGACAGCTGTCAAAACCCAGCTGTCACTTCCTAAGGGGTCAAACAAGCTGTGGAGAGAGCGACGAATACAACCCGATCGTTAGCATGAATTAAATATTCAGGACGACCCTTTATTCCGTTTACTTAATAAACTTATAAACGGCCGCACGAGTGCAGCTAATAATGCTCAGGTTACTCATTTCAGACCTGGCGACGAGAAAATAAATAAATATTTCAAATATACTAATTCGATTCCTCAAAGTAAACGTGAAAAACGATTCACATGATATCTTTTTGTTAATGATAAACCTATCCTATCATTGATAAAAATATTTTTAAAATAACCAGCGGTCGTACCCTCCTTTCTGAGGTTCTCCCAGTTTAGCACTGAAGTAGGTCAATGAATCATTTTCTCTAAGATTTTTTTTATTCTTTCCTATAGGAAACATATAATTATAAGTTATAGAACAACAATATTATAGAAGGTATATAAACTGAAGATATTTGTTTCTTAAGTTTTTACGAACACTACATATTAAATAAAACTATTTTTTTATTATTTCATTTTAATATTTAACTGAAACTATGTTTATTTATTTTAGGCGCTTTTTCCATTGCCGACGATGAACGAGAAGCGAGTAGAACTAGAACCTAGAAACGAGTTGGCGAGCAGCAGCGAGAAGCGAGTGGGTTGTTTCGGATAGTTTTACTGCTGGACTATAAGTGAGTATGCGAGTACGACAGGTGATTACTCGTGCCACTCGCTCGTGGAGATAAACCTGGGCAAAAATGCACGCGAGCGCATTTTGAAACCAGCGAGCAGCGTTGAGCGGGAATCGCTAAGCAAGTATTATCTTAGATAGCACTTATCATTCAGCGACAAACTATTAGATTGAGTTCTCGCCGGCAGCTTTAACAGTCAGCGAACAACTATTAGTAAATGCATCTCTTTTATTTATGTGGGATGTATATCTATTGAAAGTTTCTTTTGTAAGAAAATAACCGATAGGTGGTCGCTTCCTCGCCGGACAGCGGTGGGTCAACTAGCATACTTTTTATGGAAACCAACCAATTTTTGGGCAAGTTTAAAAACTCACCATAAAAACCCCCTCCTCACCCGTCTAAGTACTCAACTAGTACAGAAATTATTGAGATCTCATATTGGTTCTCATAACGGCGCGAGCGCAGGCTCGCCCGATGGCTGTATCGCTATCTGATCCCCGATAGTGAGAGCCTGCGCGCGCGCCTGTAATGACTCAATTATCCGCTTAGGGTAGGCGTGGCCTGTACAGTATGTCTTCATTATGTGAACCGACGAGCCAAGTGTTGAACTGGATTTTAGTTTTTGCGATTTGTTTTTAACTATTGAGTCTTTAACTTCTTATGTTGGGTAGTGAAAGAAATATAATATACTAGATGCCTAGTTTCCGGTCTTTTAAGTGATTAAAGTTGTTTCGTTGGATTTTTTATAGCCGCATACTGGACAAGGCGTGAAAAAAAAACACAGAATACCCCAGATACGTAGGTAAGTTCCTAGTCGCAATATCAACACACTGTATTTTGGGTCTAATTTTAAGCAACCTGTCACGTTTCCAGACAATAGATAATCCAAATAATAGCTATTTAAAAAAAATAGGAAGTATCGAAATTTAGTATAATATGTGTTTTGTATAACAGTCTATGTAAATATACCAATACAGCCTTTTAGATAGATAGATAGATTAGATAGATAAACACTTTATTATTAACACCAAATATATAAAAATTATGTAACATTCACAAACAATAAACTTTTAGTAACTTGAATTTGGTAATTATTTTCTATAACGTGTTTTTTAACAACATAACTTTGAACTTTTTTCTCTGTTAAGCTATACTATGTAGCGGAAGGATCACATAATATTATACGGGGCATACGAGCTGACTGCTCACCTGATGGTAAGTAATCACCGTCACCCATAGGCCTGCAACATCAGGAGTATCACAAATGCAATGGTTTTCGGGTCGTATTGGTCGTCCGAAAACACTGTAGTCTACCTGCTTAAAGTAGCAACAAAGGATGAAACGTATAATGTTATACCAAATGATTTGACTAACCTACACAATTATGAAAAAAAATCATGGCCATCCAAACAATTCCGTTGCCACACTAGCGCGCTTCTAGGAACAGCATCATAGGATGTTATCTATTGGTACTGGGAAATATAGCAAAGAATTTATTGGTAATATCGATGGCTCACTTGATGGGTACTTACGGCGATTTCCAGCATCAGACCGCGCACTTAGCCGTATCTGATCCCGGCATTTGACCTCAGGGGTCAGGAATTGATTCTTAAATTTCTATTTTAGGTACCGCGGAGATGTAGGTACGGATCTACCCGTGATGCCTCCAGGGTCTAAGAACAGTTCGGTAATAGGACCATCAATGATTTGTTATTATTTATTGGCTATGATTTAAAGTCATTTGCAGTTACCTATTTCATGCGGTTACAATGTAATTATAATTAGTTTACGTTTAATTATTCTTAATTTGATGATGATCAGAGGTTCGACTTTGTACCGTTTCTATTATTGTCACTGTTGTCCAGTTGCTATGTTCTGACATTGTAAAACTGTGAAATTAAGTTTATTTAGTACATAATGAATGTATTATCTATTATTATTGAAATAAATCCAAGGCAACTGACAATAATTATTTGGTCTTAAACTAAACAGAGTTTGTACTATGGTAACTAAATAATGTTTAGGTATAATGTACCTATTACATAGGAATGGCAAGGGCACTGAGCAAGTTATCACTAAGGCTGCTCATGTTGCACCAACCAGTGTAGATTATGTCATTGTTTTTTGTTTACACTTTTATAATTTTATTTTTAACATGACTTTTTTTTGAGTGTGTGTGTATGCTGTTGGTCGCAGATGTCCTTTACAGCGTCACCGGGTTTGGCGATGGTGAGATCCTAAGGGGATCTCAAGCCGAGAATTGACGAGTACTTCTAGAGGTTTTCCAGCCGGATGGTATCTCCACGGGGGGAGTCTCCACTCCGTCTGGATCCTCTAGACCACTCAAACCTGAGGGGGTCGACTCAACTAGAGGACGTGTCTGAGACTCGGACCTTGGCTCTAGTTAGCCGTTGTTCGTAGGGGGACTCGGACCTCGACTCTAGTTGCTTATTTTCTTAACATGGCGATCGTTCTTAGCCAATTAAATGAGCTCTTTCGCACCTTACATTTTCAAAATTGTCCCAAAGTACGGTAGTGGCACCCATGACCGACGAGAACCAATGATCGATATTTCTTTGTGTGATCAATGAAAAAACCGGCAAGTGCGTGTCGTGCCACGAGCAATGTAGAGTTCCGTAGATATTTAATTGTGTTTTTTTAAATATTTTTATTTCGATGAGTACGGTTCCAGGGCTCCACGGAGTAGGGGATTGGGTCAGGGCAGGCAACGGTGCGAATAATATTTTTGGTATCGCAAATCTATGGACTATGGTGGCCATTGATCTTGCGGCAAATATGCGTGTTTTAAACCCTCATATCTATGCTTATCATAAAAAAAATAAAGCACAATAACAATAACATTCTCTTAGCCTTTATTGCAAGCAAAGTGTTATATAATCACACTTATAAAGGCGAAAGTTTGTGAGTGTGTGAGTTCTTCACGTCTAAACGGCTGGAGCGATTATAATAAGCTGACACTCTGGATTAACACATAGGCTACGTTTTACTGCGGGAAAATATCCCTAATAAACAACAGGCAACACCACGGGGCAGAGCTAGTTATTGATAAGACGGCCATTTGGCTCAGCAAATGTACGACGTATTGACAAGTATAGACTAAGGACGAAAGAAATAGATTAACTACTCATATAACACATAGATTACAAGAGAATAGAACAATGACAGAATATTTTTTTCTCTATGGTGTTTGACGGTTACTCACTATTCCCCAAGACGATATGAGAAGTACAAGATTAATAAAAAGTAAATAACCCATTTATAAAGAAAAAAGTAGGATATTTACTTATCAATAATATCAATAAATACTAAAGAAGACTCATAATGGATGGAAATGATGGTACCACGATGGCGGAAGTCAGTCATGATAATATTTATATGCCGATCTACGTGCTGACTGCAGTCTTTGGGGGTATATTCGTCATAGGTCCGTTTCTGGTACCGAAACGAGAAAACCGAGAGTAAGTATTCCTACTTTTATCAACCTCCCTCCCCCTTTCTTGCAAAGCACGGAGGAACTTGAGCCACCCATCCTATGAGCTAACCACTGCTTGATTGAGCTCCTCTGTCACTACAAAATTGATAATGCCTAATCTATTAAGGATCGATTGGAATTGGTAGTTTAATTTTATTCAGTACCAGGATTTTTGATTGTATTATTGAAAAAACTTTGTTTGTTATAACTAATAACTTATTATGCTGAAATAATTTCAGATTATTACTTAATCATTAAATTCATTGTACTTTTTATCAGTTTGTTTTATGAAACCTACTAATTGGTACAGCGAACCAGATTATTCATCGACTGCTCTACTATTAGAAGGCACCTTTACACTTTTCTATTTATATCAGACTTTTGTTTTAGGCTTATTCAACAATGCATTATGATGACGGCATTCTGCATGTGGATTCTGTAAGTATTCGTGTAAGTTCATAATATAGAGCGGGTCGCTTGGCCCCGTGCTGCGCCCGGCTTCCAACGAGTGCAATATCCCTAATGAAAAATTCAGCAATTTTGAAATCACAATACAAAACACCACCTTAATTTCCGGGGAGAGGATCAAATAAAAAAAAAGAACTACTAATAACGCATAAGTACAAAAAAGAGTCTTTCGTTAATTATACTCCTATGAGCGTACATTTCAGTGAATCATTAATATTTTTAAAAGCTTGAATCTAGCAAGAAAAGTAACCGATATGTATGCTCAAACGAAGGTGTGGTTAACTAGCTTGAATAAATATCCATTTCAAAAATTAATTACCTAAAGAGGTCTCTAGGTATCTTACCAGATACAGCGGCTTCTCCGAATCGGAGCAGAATGCAGGTCATTTTCCCAGAAAGCCTAACAGAAAGTTTAAGTATTCTTCCCTTTCTATTACTAATATTCCGTTTTTTAGCATTGAAAATAAAATCAGTTCTGTACACCCGTTAAGATGTTTTACTTTAAAAGAAAACCTCTTTTATCGCGACTGAAACTAAGAATATTTTCCAGATGGGTGACCATATACATCGCACAAATGCACCCACTCACGCCGCCGCGGCTGAGGAACAAGACCATGGCCTGGCTCGTTAATACCAATGTTAGTTTGTTAATAATTCCTTCACCGAAACCAGTTACAAAACTACGGTTTCGTAGACTGCCGAAGGGGTTCACGCAGCGCACGCAACGGAAGCTTTCAAATGGATATTTTTTTCCGTTTTTGCAACATTTTATATCGATGCTCCGCTCCTCCTGGTCGTAGCGTGTTATACAGGGCGTCCCACGGATTCCTCACACGGAGGGAAAGTATATTAAATATTGAAGATAGGATATTTTACTGAAACAAGACATCATTTTATTTTTAAAAATAAGTAGAAATGCATTCACAGATTTTTTTAAAATCGCCTGATACAACTGGGAATCAAACTCGTGAAATTTTGAAAAAATAAACAGCAGATTTTATGATAACCATCGAAAGGGTTAATCATAAGGATTATTTTTTGCTAAATAACATAGCATTTTAAATGAAAGGAATGTCTTATTACACGATAAAAATAATAAAGTGATATACAAACTGTAGTAGTCGTACGTATGCATTTCTTTCTGAACTCACAGTTACAATGCGATTGGCTTAAATTTCGAAAATGGAACACATAAATTTTCAAGCGTCTGCAATCTTATTTGCAATTTTATTGTCAATTTACTTAAGTACCATGGCGTATCAAAATAAAATGGATTTATTGAAAGGTTAGTTTATGAACCACAAAGACATATCAGCTTTACGGTGGTACTGCAAGATACCTGGATAGAGACGTACCTTCTCGATATGTGTTTAAAAGGTTAGCGGATACTTTAAAAAATTCAGGACATTTTGATATGCGCTTACCTGAGGCGCTTACAGAAACTGCAGCAGCGAATGATAAACGTCAACGATGATGAACTCAACATTTTAACTTACTTTGAGGCGTATCCGATTTTATATTACTTTGTGTTAAATTAAATTACTTTTCTTTCATTTAAAATGCTATGTTATTTAGCAAAAAATAATACTTATGAGTAAACCCCCCGATGGTTATCTTAAAATATGTCGAGTTTTTTTCGAAATTTCACGAGTTTGATTCCCAGTTTGTAGCAGGCGATTTAAAAAATCTGTGAATGCAGTTCTAATTATTATTAAAAATAAAACGATGTCTTCTTTCAGTAAAAATATCCTAGCTTCAATATTTAATATACTTTCCCTCCGTGTGAGGTAGCCGTGGGACGCCCTGTACATAGTCTATATGCCTTCCTCGATAAAGGTACCCTATCATTCCCAAAAGGAATTTTTCAATCATTTACTAAGCAAACACTGAAATACGGATCATTTCTGTGAGAGCACTGTAAGCTAAGGTACGGGACTATTGTGAATTGGGTTTGAAGTGATATTTTGTTTTGCAGAGAGAGCCAGCTTCACCGCCGAGCGCCGTCACTGAGACGACCGAGCAGCCGATTTCACCGTCGGGCCCCCTCGAGGATCCAACCCAAAGTACGACGCCCGACCCCCGGGGTGAACCTCCACCTCCGAACCCATAATCACTCATCGTCATTATACAGGAGTACGACGCCCACTGTTGAACATAGATCTTCCACATAAATATCCACCCCGATCGGTCCTGCGCCACTATCAATCATCAGCTTCCCGCGACCTTCGCTAGATCGTTGGTCCACCTCGTGAGAGACCTGCCCTCTGAGCGTCGACCGATGCGTAGTCGCCATTTGAGGACCTTTCCGCCTCAACGGCTATGAGTTCTCGTATTATAATAACTTGCATGCTTGCAATTACCCACGATACGAACCTTCGTTTGTTTTTTTCGTCTTTTCCTTTTAGTATTCACTTAGACAATAGCCCGCATGGATGTTTCATGCCATAGTTTGTCATTGGTCGAGACTTGGAGAGCGTTACAAACTCAAGCCGTTACGATTGGTTACAAATAGAATGTTCTTCCAAACCACGTAAAGCATGTCAGCCACCTCATTTTTACGCTGGAGCTTTTGCGTGCAACTCAAGGTTTGCCAAACGTGTAAATACGGCATTTGGCACGTCGGGTAATATTATTTCATGGTAAAAGTATTTCTAAAATTGTTAGTAATGAATATGAAAATGGAACTATTTAGGCTTAGTTTGTATGTATTTGTTTTCTTCAGAACAAGAGTGGTATAGGTAGGTTCCTAATTTAGATTTCTTTTGAATTAGAACAGTGAATGTATAATGTCATATTAATATAAAGAAATAAATATTATTTTATTAAACTCATGTTATACTTAAGCATTTCCTATAATTATGGATTACCACTTCAATTATAATTTGTCTAATTGTCTATGTGTAGCCTTAATTATTTTTTCAATAAGTTTCACTGTTTTTGCTTTGATGTACACTTTTGATAATCTAATTTGTTTACAAGAAACAATAATGCTAAAGGAATGGAGGTTTATTTATTACGTTTCATTTTAATTGTTCCGTGGTGCTAAAAGTTAATCTATCTTCAACTTACTGATACATATTTTAGTTAAGCAATAAAATCGCAAAACTATTAATTCCGAAATATTCCAGCTGGGCAATAGACACTTTAGCGGAGGCTGGGGATTTACACTGTTCACGGCACGAATTGTAATTGTAAACGCCCGCGCCCCACAAGCGGTATCGCAAAGATCAAAATAACATTTGTACCGAAATCATTTATCAGCGCTGATTCTCTTTCCATTTGTCCCCACGGTACATGCAGGCAACCCTACAATATGAGGTAAGCTTGAGGCCGGAGACATAGTGACGAGCGGCGAGAGGCGATGCTCGATTCGCAGAAGCTGTAGGTATCAAACAAAAACCAGGAAGTATTATGATCTATTCAGGTGAATCACGGGTGGATTTTTCACCTGGATTGATAAAATAACCACAACGCTTTCTGTAACTGTGTCCAATGCAATCCTAAATTTGCAATCATCCTGATACTGCTTTAAAACAGACGCAGCTACGTCTCTCTTCTACGAATTGGGTTAAGAATTCAAAGTCCAGGTGAAGAGCATAAAAAAATTGTTAACATGTCCTTAAATGGCCTTTATAGTAAAAGTACCTATATTTGTGTTCTTTACTGCTTTGGAGGTTTCATAATGTCTTATGTAATTGAATTTCATGATTCTTAACTCAATTCACTACAAATATATTAAACAATGATACTCATATATAATACGTTAACAAGCGGATTCACCAGCTTCTGCCACCGCGTTTAACACCACCGTAGACTCGCCTTAAAATTCGAGCTACATTAATGTGTTCCAAGGGAATCACGTCTTGTGGGGAATTTGTCATTAATACTCGTTGAAACTGACGGTATTCGACTCAAAAATTAATCTTTGAATTAAATATCAGCGAGTGTCGTGAATACTTAAACAGTAAAAAAATCGATTTTTCCTTATTTATTCTGTTATATTAAGTAACCGCATAAAAGTAGGGCTACTTAAGAAATAGCAGATTATGCATAATATCTTTATTAAGAAGAAGCTAGTCATCATCATCAGCCTATTTAATGTCCCCACTGCTGGGGCACAATCCTTCCCTATTTGTGAAATAGGGCAATTGGGCCATGACCCACCACGCGGGCCCAGTGGGGATTGGTGGGTGCTAACGACTGCAGATGCAGCCGGGACCAACGGCTTAACGTGCCTTCCAAAGCACGGAGAAGCTCGAGATAGAAAATTTTTGGTCACCCATCCAATGACCGACCACTGCGAAAGTTGCTTAACTTCAACGACCCCAGCCGAACGCGCTAACCACTTGCAACATCAAGCTCCTCAAAAAAAGAAGCTAGTACTTACTTCTAATTGAAGGTCTCACACTTCACAGAGCTATTTCGGAACTATTAGCCCGGAGCCGGAAATCAGCTACCTACTGTTGTTTTCAGGGTTCGGTATTCAATGGGTAATAAATAAGCTATTTTTAAACCATTCCCGTCCATCCATTCTTTCGTTCGCCTCTCCGGGCAAGCTCCAATGAAATGATGAACAGCGGCAGCAGCTATTAAGAGAGGTAGAGCACAGCGGATTTTCCGCTCGAATTGGAGCGCCCGCCTAGGCAAGCAAGCTCCATCTTACAGAAGACCACAGTAAAATAACACTGGTGGTGTTGTGTTTCTGTTGGTGAGTAGGGTTCCAGGGCTCCGCGGGGTAGGGGATTGAGTTGGGGCAGGCCGGCAAGGTGATGATGGCTGGAGCGGCACTGCTTCTGCCGTGTCATCTATCTTCGCGACAGGAGTCCACTTAAGAATGCGGAAGAATCCCTAAACGGGGATCCCGCGGCTTCTCACTATGCAGCTTAGAGCGTATTCGCAGGGTTTTTTTTAGCGGATATCATGCCGTAAAGCGCCCGAAAAGAGTTACGGGGTCCTCAGTAGGCAGCCACTGCTGGGGCTCGTAAGGCTAGCGGGAGCCAGGTGTAAGGTCCGTTCGGCGGTGTGCCTCTTAAAGGTGCCGTCGTCTGTAAATAGTATTTATTTGCCTGCGTATAAAAAAAAAAGAGTCCACTTAAGAGAGGAGGTGGATAATGTCTTTTCTATACAAACGTTTTCGTCTGATTCCTTGATTTTTAATACTAAAGAAAGGATTTTCATGCATGAAATATGATTTTAATTATTATATGTTCCTAACGTCTTCCTTTTTTCGATAACTTGTGTTTCAAAGTCACTAGAAGCCCTCAAAAATGCCTAAAATAAACTTGTCTAGTGTGGAGATTCAATAAGCTTTTACAAAAATGCAAAACATAAAAGGCCTAGTTATATCTAATTATTATTCTACGGGTAAATTTTATCTAGTTTTCGAGAAGGAATTGTCAAGAGCCAAACCTTGAATAGGGTATTTGACAAGATTTAGAAAACAATCTCACGTTATTGACTAATATTTATGGAGTCCGTGAAAAGTGGCTATTCATCATTCTGTTGTGTATTTCAGTAAAAATAACCAAATCAAAAACTCCATTTTCAAGTTGCCGCGAAAACGTTTCTCTGGACAATATGGCGTCTTACTAGTGTGTGACGTCACACGACTGTTATTAAAACTTCAAACGATACAATGTAATGTCACTTTAACCGGAAGTTTACTTGCGTGTGACGTCATTTTAGGCTCCGCCAATCCCAAGCGTTTTGGGTCACGTGACAATAGATAAGAAAACTATTATCTTTTTCGTAGGTTTTTAGTAAAATTATGAATATTTTTTTTTATCAAAATAGTGAAAACCCTTGCGAATATTCATTCTAAACACAAATGCTAACAATTGGCACTTTATTTTTAATACTGTCAAATACCCTATTTTGCAATTTTTATACGCAATTTTCAGCGTTAGCTACTGTTGTCATATCGCACGGTATTTGCCAGTACGCGACAGCAATAGTTTTTTCATTACCTATTTCTCAAATGTCTCTCAGATCGCGTCCGCTCTTAAATTTAACATCAATTGGTGGGGTAATTTGTAGCGCCCCGTATAATAAAAAAGCAAAAATAAATAATTAATATGCTTTCCTGTCTATTGAGTATTTGAGATTAAAGTATCTAGAGTGCGTTTCATCAAATAGTTCCTATGCCGCACACTGTCTGTCAATAGTGTCATCACGTTAAGACATCTTTCCTGATTAACTTGTTAACCAATCAAATTGCTTTGTTAAATTGTTAACCAACATGACGCAAGCATAGGAACTATGTGATGAAACGCACTATACCTCTGTATTTTACCTTTTGAAACAAATCAGAATAATTGATTACACAAATACGGATATGACATGCAATAGATTACAAGTTGACACTTTAATAAACTACATTAAGTTTATGATTTTTTTCTAATTTTAGCCTTTAACTGCTAGATTCGTCAGAAAATACTCAACTCAGTCCAAGCATCAGGCAGGATTCGAACCTGAACTTTCCTCCCGAAAAGCCGAAGGTAGAAAGATTATTTATTCTAGGAAAAAAAAATACACTACATTGTAAAAAAAATGTTCCTCAGCTAGTAACTTCCGTGTAAACAATCGCTAAGCTTGTGCTTACCTTCGCACTGTAATAAAAAAAGTTGAAGAAACCAACAAACCGGGAAAACATTTACTCGCCCCTCTGAAATTTGGCGCGAAAGGTAAAACATAAGCACCCTAAAACAACAAAACGTTAACAAGTTACATGCTGGCACACAAAAAAAAACCTGCCGATTCACCCTCCGTAACTCAATTGCGGCAGATCTATTCCGCGCCGTATTGCGTCCCACCCCATCTAAATGATAATTCGAGGGTCCATCTTACAATAAAAATTATTGTGGCCAGTTTATTTTATTACCTTTCGTATTGGCGTCAAATACTTATACAAGTTTGCCTTTTTTGCGTGTTACACTTTCCAGTAAAAGCAAAATAACACACGCTTTTGTGTCGCGCGAATGTATAGATAAACATTCGCGCGCTTTATTTGTTGTAACGCACGCACCCTATCTTATTGTCCGAAAAGCAAAACACATTCTGACCTCTTGAACGATCGGCTAGGATTTGGATTTCAAACGATATATCCTTATGATTTTCTTAGGTCGTACCGTAAAGTCTTATAGAATGAGAGAGAGAGAGAGTAACATTTTTACTGACCACATTAATAATTTACAAAACAACATACAAAAGAAATGAAAATTATACTTAATGGAGTTATTTCATAGTAGATACATATTATCATAGTAGGTACCATTTGTGGTCAGTCAGGACCCTGCCTCAGCATAATGCTGCCGCAACCGCCACAAAACGTGTCACAGCAGCGCTGGTATTCTGGCACGGCCTGTTATGCCGGAACTTAATATGGCCAATCGCATCCGCCAAACATGACTAGCCACATGACGTGCCGGCACAAGGTGCAGAAGAATACACTCAAGAACAGTACCATGAGGAGCCCCCTTGGGTTGAAGCACATTATATATGATCGGGTAGGCACCGCCTAAATTCGATCCTTTCAGTCCAGTATTCATTAATAGAAAATTCCTATGTATTGCACAGTAATCTGAAGGCGTACTCGTCAAATCAATATTCAATGTATTGTAAACTTCTTCGTGTCGTCTCCTACTACTGTATAGCACTAAAATCTACGAAAATTAAAGTGGGATAGAAAATCACGTTATATCCAAAGTCAACTTTAAAGAAGTGGGGTCCGTACCGTAATGGTATCTTTTTTTTTAATTTTTTCAGGCCTTGGATACTCCTTGGATAGTCCTTTAGCCGAAATCATGAATATAACAAAACAGAAATAGGTGAACAAAAGATTGAAGAACAAAACATTAAAATTACCGTAATGGTATCATATCGTCAGGGTTGCCAGGTCTCCCGATTTTATAGGAGATCACCTGATTTTCTGAAATTTCTCCTGTTCTTATGTTTTTCTACATGAATCTACTGTTTTCCTTAGATTATGATATTCTTTTGTAAATTGCATGTTGAATTGCGTTTTCCGCCATTCGGTATGTAGGTTACCTTAATTATAATGCAATAAACATGTTATTGTCTAAAAAAAACGAG